TCCACTGCAAGTTCCAAAACAAACTATATGTTTATATTCATTATAATAAATAATAATTTTTATTATTTAATTTTGCCTGTAAGGGCAGTGATCGTTTGAATGAAGTTTTTAAGTGAGTTATTTATACTCTTTCGAGTCGAGATCATTAAGTTCCACTCGAAAGAGTATAAATGACTCACTTATAATAATGTGGTATTAATAATCTGGTATTAAGTTTTCGCCTCAAAAAGACGAAGAACAAGTAAAAATGTCGTTACGTTCGGCTGGGCCGAACTTTTTATACCCTCCACCACGTGATGGACACTAGTGGCGAACCTATAAATTGGCTAAGGATATGTTGGATGCGATTTATAAAAAGTAAATCATATAAACTGTATTATAAAGAATCTAATTAAAACCAGTGAGCGGAGCAGTATAGTCGGACGGGGCCGACCATACGATACCCTACACAACTTCCATGAAATTCTAACTTTCCGCGGTTCTATATTCTGAGATGGGGCAATATTTCGCGATATTTGCACACTTTTGACTGGCTAGAGGTCAGCAAATGTTACTAATAATCAGTACAGTCCCTCTAATTACTTGTCCAGATTCCCTTCACCATGGATTGTATTGTGATGTTCGGCTGTCGATTCGAAAAGTACAAATAATTAAGTTTTCGGTCCACTTCATCCGAAAAATTATTATCACCTAACATTTTAGGCGTTGTCCTTGACCATAACTGGAACCTCATGGAACATTTCAAAGTGATCAGAGCTATATTTCCGTCCTCTAGTGTGGTAATAGGTTACTAAATAATATATGAATACACAATATTTAAGTGTAACTCCCGCATCCGAGTACCTACGTCTATATAATTGGTATCAATTTAAAGGTCAACCACTCCTCTTGGATATACTATCAATTTCTCGGGTCTATGTCCTTCAGTGGTAAATATATACACTATAGAATACAAATTTTGTAATTTTTCACACAAAAGTTAAGGTCCATTTGACCCGCTAAATATTGACCGATCATTATCAAAACAGGCATGCTTATTCTTTGGCCCGATCCCCTTCTCCATGCAAAAATTCGCGGTGTTTGGGCCATAATTGCGGCCTCTGGAGCGACCAGAAAAATCGACAAAAATAAAGTTTTTGGTCCATCTCATCCCCTAAATGTTAGCCGATCTTTTCCAAAAATAATAGGGGTCTTCATTGGCCAGAACCCATCCTACATGCAAAATTTCTTGAAGATTGGTCCATAACTGTGGCCTGTATCGTGTTTACAAATTATAATGGACAGACGAACGGACGGACACACATGTCTAGATCGACTCAGCTAGTCGAGATATGGCTATGGGTATACATAAAGGTGGGTCTAGGACCAATATTTCGCGGCGGTACAAACTTTTGGGGCTGCACAAAGCTATAATACCCTGACAACATAGTTCTGTAGGGTATAAAAATTAATTTTAATTTTATAAATAACCAGTAAGGAATGTAGTAAAGTTGGACGGAGCCGACTATATGATACCCTTCACGAATATATGTATATATATATATATATTAAGTCTTCATTTCTTCAAAACGTAATCTGAAAAACATTAGGAGTTTGTACACCATTTACATAAATCTGGCAAAAGTATATATCGAAGCTACATCCAAATCCGAACCGATTGCAACGATTAAAATTATATTAACTTCAGTACGTTTTGTGCATAGCGGCCATATTTTGGGTTCTTCTTCTTCCAAAATCTAATTTGAAAACTATGTTTGACTGTTTGTTTTATTTATAATCAAAAACTTCATTTTCACCAAAAGAATATTATGCTATAATACTCGTACTTTGTGCCATAAATTGAATTTAAATGGAATCGATATTTTCCCAAATAACCGCTTTTTGAAATCACAACAAACAAACATCCCCGGCTACAATTCAACGTGTTTTCATTTATCTCACAAACAAATCTCTATTTTCAATTGATTTATTTAAAACAAAATAAATACAAAACAGAGCAAACAAAAAAACTGTGGATGTGTCGTAAATTAACGTTAACGATATTTAAATCGCTGCAATCTCAGACTACGATGATAACAACCGTTTTATGGGGCAACACTTGCGTACCACTCAACTGCACAGTGTTTAAACAATATTTAATAATAAAAATAATTTGTAAATATTTTGAAATGTTAATTGTGAAGTAGAAAATATTGTGTATTTGTCGTGATTTCGATATTAAAGTGTAATAGACAATATGTGTACACATTTACAATAAAAATACATACAATGGAAATTTTATTTACTTCTAAATAATAGACACATATTTTGTGAACCAATGTGCCCCTGTTGATAAGTGCTTAATATATGTATTTACCGAGTAAATTTGCACGTTCAAACAAAATAAATATATTATGAACCGAATAAACTGTGTGTGCATATACTCTGTTTATTTACTAAATTAAATTATATTAAATAATTTGTTGTCTATTTTTAAAACGGGTTAAATTTTCTCTGGCTACGAATTATGAGATAATTTTGTGTAGCAACTGACAACTAGTTCAAGCAGATACTACTCAAAATTATTTGGAAATTATTTTTGGGGAAATATGCAAGATTAGATAACACATATATATATATATATATATACAGTAGATATCGGATATAAGCACATCTCATATAAGAAAAAATCGCATATAAGAAAAATTATCAAAAACACCGAGCCTTTTTACATCTCATCAGTGTAAAAATTGCTTCATATAAGAAAAACGCATATAAGAAAAACGCGTATAAGAAAAACACTGATATAAGAAATGTTTGTCAAACACCAAAGCTGACAAAGATATTTGAAAACGTTTCATATAAGAAAATATGTAAGATTGTTGTTCATACCAAAATATTAATCAGATCATCATCGAAAATTATAGGCGTTGTCTTTGACCATAATTGAAACTTCATGGGAAATTTTAAAGGGATCATCGCTATATTTCCGCCCTCCAATGAGGTAATGGGTTACTAAATAATATCTGAATACGTAAGCACCGCTAAATAATGACCGATCATTATCAAAGCAGGCATGCACATTCTCTGGCCCAATCCTCTTCTCCATGTAAAATTTCGCGATGTTCGGGTCATATTTGCGGCCTCTAGAACGACCAGAAAAACCGACAAAAATTGAATATTTGGTCCATATCATCCCCTAAATATTAACCTACCTTTACCAAAAACAAACCCTTCCTACATGTAAAATTTCGTGAAGATTGGTCCATAACTGTGGTCTGTATCGTGTTGACAAATTATAACGAGGTCGAGGCACACATAGTTGACCACATAGTTGTGTAGGGTATAAAAACTATCTAAATACATTTATCTAGATGAAAATAGCAATGACAGCTATATTGAAACCAAAACTAATTAAAATTAAAGCCATTCTGATTGTTGTTAATCCCTGCACCACAAGGTTAAGTGTGTATAAAAGATGTCACCTCGAAATGTTCACCCGACACCCCGTAAAGTCATGTCCACCGTCTGTCACGATAGAACTCACAATATTTAAGATAGAGCTCAGAAGCATTGCTAGTACTCCTAGGATGTTTGGTATTGCAAATATCAATAAATTTCATTCCACGTTTTGGTGTAGCCCCCATGTGTGTCCGTTCGTCCGTCCGCCCATCCGTCTGTCCATTATAATTTGTAAACACGTTACAGGCCACAGTTATATCACGAAATTTTGCATGTGTGATGAGTTCTGGCCAATGAAGACCCCTATTGTATTTTGCTAAAGATCGGTTAATATTTAGTGGATGAAATGGACCAAAAACTTTATTTTTGTCTGATTTGCTTGTAGCTCCAGAGGCCGCAATTATGGTCCAAACTTCGCGAATTTTTAAATGGAGAAGGGGATCGGGCCAAGCTATAAGCATGCCTGTTTTGATAAAGATCGGTCAATATTTAATGGGTCAAATGGCTTTTGTGTGAAAAATTACAAAATTTGTATTTTATAGCGTATATATTTATGCCTGATGAACATAGACCCCAGAAGTTGATAATATATCCAAGAGGCGTAGTTAACCTTTAAATTGATACCAATTATATTGTCGTGAAAGTAACACTTAAATATTTAAAGGTGCTTACGTATTCATATATTATTTAGTAACCCATTCCCACACTAGAGGACGGAAATATAGCGCTGATCGCATTGAAATTTGCCATGAGATTCCAGTTATGGTCATTATAGGCGTTGTCCTATAATTTTCGGTGATTATCAGATAATAATTTTGGGATGAAGTGGACCGAAAACTTAATTTTTTTGGTGTTTTTTTTTTTTTTTTTTTTTTGAGTCGATCTGTATGCCTAAATTGAAACTCGAACATCACAACACAACTCACGGTGAAGGTAATCTGGAGAAGTAATTAGAAGATCTGTACTAAATATTAATTAGTACTATTTGTTGACATCAAGAGGGTGCAAATATCGTCTAAGAGGGTGCAAATATCGTGAAATATTGCCCATGCTCAGAATATAGAACTACAGAGAGTTTATTTTCATGGAAGTTGTGTAGGAATCATATGGTCGGCCCCATCCGACTATACTGCTCCGCTCACTGGTTATTCTTTAGGTTCGTGTTTACAAGACTCAACAACAATTGAGAGGGTACAATTCGTACATTTCGAATACGAAGCAATTTAAATATTTTGGACTGTATACACAATTTGGTACTGAACATATGTTTGCACTCATCTATGTATTGAAAAGCGTATAACTTGACCTAAATTTGTTTTTTTTTTTTTTGCAGTATTTTTGATATGTGCCTGTGGGCAACATTCGGCCAGAAAGGGTTAAAGATATGCATTATTGTGCGATGCATACACCCTCATTCCACGCGAATCCACGAAATGACACATTTTAATCAACATACTTACAATGTTATGCTTTTCATTTATTCCACTGACAACTTGAAAGAACCACCTTTTAAAATGCAACATCACGTTAATAATTTTTATTACTATTGTCATTTGCAGATTTCCAGGATATTCAAGTAATGATTTTCGTCGGTTTCGGTTTTCTAATGACATTTCTGAGAAAATATGGCTACAGTGCTACTGGCTATACACTCTTCCTCGCTGCTTTAGTTATTCAATGGGCGGTGCTAATGAAAGGATTCCTAAAAATGGAGGATGGCAAAATTGAGTGAGTATAAAATGCATAAATAAATAAAAAAAATTGTAATTACAGTGTACCTAAAGAAATTGTTTGGCAAACTATACCTACATGAGGAACAATAGAGACTACATAGATAGTTGTATAGGGTAATGTACTGGGGATTCTTTCCAGTATGTCCTATTCTCGGAGTTAATCTAGGCTTGGCACTGAAAGTCCGTTCAGCATGATTTTATAAAACTATTTTTCAGCAAATGTTGACTATTTTGTGTGGGAGGTATCAGATGTAATCGGTACTCCCTTCGAAAGTTATAGTGCTCACCAGCCGGCCATACGAATTAAAAATACCAAAATGCAGGTAATTCTGCTGAAAATGTGCTCAAAAATGCAAAAATTCCGACTATTGGGGGTGCCGTAAAATGGGGGGCATATACCTTAACGAGACCTGTCTTCAGACAAAAGTCAAAATTGTGCAAAATTTCTGCACCTTATCTCAAGTGGTGCTCTTGTAACGCATAATATATGGGCAATATTGTCAATTTTTTAATATTGCATTTTCAAAAAATCAGCTTTTTTGTTTTTGTGGCACATCAATGATTTTTGGTACACATATAGAGAAAAATGTTATGACACCGAAACCATTCGCGATCAAATTTTTGGTTGATGCGCGCAAAAGTTATCGAGGTTTTAATTTTGGGCATAAGAAAAAAATCATAAAATTACGCCGTGACCAAAAACGTTGATATATATCTCCCTCCGTAAAATAAGAATATGAGAATATTACAATATTCGCGAAAAAGGTGCACATATGAAAAAAATAAAAAAATATAGGAGATTACATCAATATTTTCATTATATTAATGACATACACACACCTAAAAATTAATTTAAAAATATCTACATAATCTAAACACCATGATGAATCAAATGATATCAAAATCACACAAGTCCGTGTAGCAGTTTGTAAATTTCAGCGACAACAAAGCAAGATATTGAGGAAAAATATTTGTTTTTGGTTCGAAAAAATAATGTCATCTTATTTTGATTTTTTTAATTGTATACAAGAAATTTCCGAAAAAAAAAATTTTGGGTTATTCTGCTATTTTATCCGAATTTCGCCAAAAAAATTGACCTATATAATAATCACTTTTTGTGTATAAGTATACGCCTTGCGGATTATATCAAGACCCTTCCGATAAATCTTAGAATTCTATAAATAGGAATAAATCTTTAAATAAAATATTATTATGAAATATACATTTTAAATTGCGTGTAAATCGCGTAATTCTCAAAATCATTTGATGCGCATGCGGTTTCCAGGAAGTACAGAAGTTTATCTTCCAATCCATATATATTTTGCGAAATTTCATTTGACGGCTAAGATGTGCCACACGTTGCATTGAAGTATACAAACAATCGTAAAACGCGAATAATTTCCGAAAACTCCATATACCATTAACGCGCATCCGATTTCGGTGTGCATCCTAAAAAAATACATTGATCTATACCATTTCAATGTGGACCATTAAGAACCATGGATGTGCCAGCACAATCTATTTTTGAGATAAATTGCGTACATCTCTCTTTCGGCTGAAGTTTTTAAAGTTCTCTTTTCGAAAAAGATCAAAATTCGTAGGGGGCATTTATTGAAGCGGAAATGATACACAGAAAACGCAAGTAAATCCGCGATATTTTCAAAAACATTTTTTTGCCAAATTTCGTGTTTTTGGAAGGCCAGTTCCCGCCGTTCTAGTAGACTGATTTTCACGAAGAAGATTTTATATCATCCGAAACGTAAAAAACTTTATTGATCGCGAGTACCCATATCATTCAGTTGACAGATCTAAAAATTTGGCCCGAAAAATAGGTTTTTTAGAAATTTGATCGCACAAAATTCGCACCTTCGGATGAGTATTACTCTGAAGCTGTGCATACTACATACACAAAATACATATCAAATTACGCAGATTCGCGACTAAAATAATCTTATAATCGATTTTTATAAATTCCTGTTTGCGTATTAAAACTAGAAGCTTCGAGCTTCAAAATGTCAGCATCATTTAAAGGTAGATGTAGTGAAAATTTTGAAAAATGATACTTAAGGGGCGTAGTCCCCATTTTGTTGGCTTCTAGTTTTATTTTGACACGAAGACCGTGCAATGAGTGGCTTAGTCACAAATCGATAGAGAACATAAAAAACTGGTTCGCCTCAACCTGTTTTTACACATTTTTTTACATTAAAGTAGACACAGCATTCAACAAAATTAAGTTTGGAGGTCAATTTCATGAACAGTTTGCAACGACAGACCAATTAACCCAAAACTATTCACTTTTTTTCATATACTTAAGTAGTTCCCGAGTTATAAAGGGGTGAACCTCCGCTTCAGCTATGTTAAAAAATTGACAATATTGCCCATATGTATTTGTATTTGATAACAAATTATTGATTGTTTTTTTTTCAGCCTTTCATTGGAAAATATTATTGATGCCGATATTGCAGCCGCTGTTCCGCTTATTAGTATGGGCGCTCTTTTGGGTCGTACAACACCTATACAATTATTGTTTATGGCATTATTTGAAATTGCATTGTTTGCCATAAATGAATATGTTGCATTGGACATTTTAAGTGTAAGTAATTTTCTTAAGAAACAAATTACAGCCAATTCAGCAGCAACTAATATCCCTAATGTAGTACCAAATTCAGTACAATTTTGTACCCAAAAGTATGAATTTCTAAAACTACATCCATATCCCAGTCCTACACTCAAACAGTAACACTATTTCCAAATGTCAGCGTTCCAGTTCTATCGATTCACCCAAATACCCATTTGGTAGGATTTTGTACACATTAGTACTAATTTCCAAAACTTTATACAAAGGCATATCCTACTCCCTGACAGGGATTCTTACTTCGAATTTTAAAGATTCCTGCTCTATCGGTTCACCCAAATCAAAATTTGGTACCATTTAGTAAAAATTTCCAAAACATCCTAAATACCCCAATCCTACACCCCAACAATGACTCCAATAACTCCAAATTTCAGAATCCCAGCTTTATCAGTTCATCCAAAATACGAATTTCCAAAACCTTATCCCAATTCTACACTCCAGCAGTAACATTGTTTCCAAATTTCAGCTTTCCAGCTCTATCGGTTCACCCAAATACCCATTTTGTGCGCACTAGTACTAATTTCCAATACTTTCTACATACCCCAATCGTACACCCCAACCATGACCCTAACCCCAAATTTCAGGATTCCTGCTCTATTAGTTCAACCAAAATTTAAATTGTACCAAATTTAGTACACGTTAGTACGAATTTCCAAAACTGTATACAAAGCCCAAATCCTACACCCAGCAGTGATCCTAACATCAAATTTCACGATTCCAGCTCTATTGGTTCACCCAAATCCAAATTGTACCAGTTATAGTACGATTTAGTATAATTCATACACATAAAAAACTCACCAAAACCGTACATGTACATCCGACGGCAATGTTCATTTAAAATTTCAGGAAATGCAGCTCGGCTTTCTAAACCACATCCTTATATTGACCCTACTTCTCAACTTTGATTCGTATTCCATATTTCAAATTTTTTTTCCAAAGGGTTTTTGGAAATTCGAACTATGAGTATCCTGAAAGTACTAAAATGTTACGACACTGTAACATATATAGTACATTTTAGTACTTTTCGGATACTTATAGTTCGAATTTCCAAAAACCCTTTGGTACATCTACCCTACACTCCATAATGACCTTCAATACAAATTTCACTCCATCATTAACCTTCAATCAAATTTACAAATGGTATCATATTTAGTACATTTTAGTACTTTTCGTACCGTTCTTGTGCGACTTTCCAAAAACCCAGACTTATCTGACACCTTTGAACCAAGAGTGACCCTCAGCCAATTTTTCGTCTTAATCGCCTTAATATGCCTTTTATATGTTCTTATTGTATAAATTGTCTCATAGTCTGAGTATAGAAAATTATTTAATTAAGCTTATAATCTTCTTTATTTATTCGCAAAATAACACTTTCAATTGTACTCACAAATTACCTAATCACATATTCCGATTTTGTGTTTACTCGCAGATTTGTGACGTTGGCGGTTCTATTACCGTTCATGCCTTCGGTGCTTACTTTGGTCTGGCGGTGAGTCTAATGTTGCGCCCCACCAAGGATCAAAACGATGCAGGCAAATACGAGGGACCCACCTATACATCCGACATGTTTGCCATGGTTGGCACATTATTCCTTTGGATTTATTGGCCAAGTTTTAATTCTGTTTTAGCCGATGGCACTGGCCAGGAGCGGGCTATTTTGAACACGTATTTGTCATTAGCAGCTGCAACAGGTAAGCACGTTTCTGTCATTTACTCGAGCATGCATATCACGGCTTTAACTATGAATGTCATATGTTGTAACAGCCAGTATGACATATCGATATGTCCTGTCATAGCTGCATACGACAAAAGCATGTACTACAGAGCAGAACAGCATAGGACAGGCAGAAATGCGTACGTGTGTTACGTTTCATGATAGAAAAACTTTCGGTACGGTGAAATGTAGATTTGAGTGGATGTTAAAGTTTAAAACATCGACTACACTTTTGAATAGTTAAAGGAAAAAAGTGTAATCGATTTATTAAGAACCGAACAAAACAAGGAAAAATGTCGATATATTCGGAGAGGACGGAAGGACCGCTCGATATCTTTATGCACAACGTGTCTGTGCCATGGTAAATAGTTGACAGATATATTTGGCACCCGGATACGGATAAAAAACGGGCCATAATCCCCAATATATCGAGTTATTGTAAAAGATAGTCGAATAATGATGATTTGTAGTAGGAAGATTTGCTGTTCAAAGTGAAAATACAAAGTTAGAGTCAATTATGTTCTGAAAAACAAGCCTATACTCTCCAAAATAACGAAAAAAGAGTGGTACTGCACATGGGTAGCTATCGAAGAATGAAGATTTGATATTCAAATTGAATCAAAATACCTGATTACAGTCAACTCAGTTGAAAACCTTCTCCAAATCCGGAAAATTTTGGAGATAACGTTACATGGGGGCCATGTGTTACCCAATGAGAACCTCAAATATCAAATTACAGCAACTTCGTTTGAAGAACGCGTCCATACTCCCCAAAAATAACGAAATTTTGAAGGGTAAAAACAATGTTATGTTCTTTTTATACCCTCCATCATGAAGATGTCAATCAAAATATTAAAAACCAGTAAGGAAAGTGGAAAAGTCGGACTGGGCCGAATATATGATACCCTTCACCACTTTGGGTATATTGTACATATGTATCCTAACAATTGCATGTCTATGTTCCCTATTTATCCAACCTATCCTAACTTTAATTTCATTCGAGCTGATTTAGAGCCGTCTGCGTAACATGGGGAAAATTTATGGAAAACGATTTATAGGCAAATTGATACACGCTATTCGGTACGCCGCGTTATTAAAAATATAATCTATATGTGGGAGCTATATCTAAATCTGAACCGATTTTCACGAAAATTAACACACATCTTTCTAGACTTAATTCAGTACGCTATGCAAAATTTTGTGCAAATCGAAGGGTATATATAGGGACCTTGGTGCACCATTTACATAAAATCGGACGAAAATATATATGGGAGATATGTCGAAATCTAAACCGATTTTCCCGAAACTCACCACTCATCATTCTAGACTCAATTTAGTACGCTAAGCCAAATTTTGTGCAAATCGAAAGATATATAGGGACTTTGGTACACCCTTTACTTTAAATCGGGCGAAAATATATATGGGAGCTAAATCCAAATCTGAATCGAATTTCAGGAAACTTGACACAAATCATTCTAGACCTAATTTAGTACGCTGTGCCAAATTTCGTGCAAATCGAATGATATATAGGGACTTTGGTACACCATTTACCTTAAATCGGACGAAAATGTATATGGGAGCTATATCCAAATCTGAACCGATTTTCAGGAAACTTGACACACATCATTCTAGACCTAATTTAGTACGCTGTGCCAAATTTCGTACAAATCGAAAGATATATAGGTACTTTGGTACACCATTTACCTTAAATCGGACGAAAATATATATGGGAGCTATATCTAAATCTGGACCGATTATCAGGAAACTTAGCACACATCATTCTGGACCTAAGTCAGTACTCTATGCCAAATTTCGTGCAAATCTAAATATATATAGGGACTTTGGTGCACCATTTACCTTAAATCGGACGAAACTATATATGGGAGCTATATCTAAATCTGAACCGATTTTCTTCAAAATTGGCACACATTATTCTGGAACTAATTCAGTACGCTATGCCAAATTTCATGCAAATCGAAAGATATAGAGGGACTTTGGTGCCCCATTTACCTTAAATCGGACGAAAATATATATGGGAGCTATATCTAAATCTGAACCGATTTTCCCAATTTCAATAGGGTTTGTCCTTGAGCCAAATAAGTGAGCTGTGCCCAATTTCATCCAAATCGGATAATAAATGCGACCTGTACTTTGTTTATAATTCAACATGGACAGACAGACGGACGGACGGACATGCATAAATCGACTTAAAAAGTGATTCTATGAATATTCTCAAAAGGAACCATGCGTCTATCTCGTTTTCTTTTGCCTGTTACAAACATATGCACAAAGACATAATACCCTGTACCACAGTGTGTTGAAGGGTATAATTAATGGGGGCTCCTAGGGAAAAACTCGTGTTATGATGAGACCTTGAACATACCGAAAATGACGTGAGAAAAAGATGATTGGAATTCTCGAAATGTCTAATAGTGAGACTACCATTATATGGGGCTATAATAAAACGGAGATCAATACTGATAATTTTGGTGGTGAGATTTGACAGCCAATGTGAATACAAAACATCAAATTACACCCAATTTGATAGAAAGACGAGTCCAAAATTTTCATTATACCGACTAGGGTCAATGTTAATAATTTTTCTTGCGAAGATGCGGTGATACCCACCTAACCAGAGTCCCAAACTAGGTCCAATTTGTTTAAATGGCGTGTGAAAAATATCCATATTGGGGGGTAAATAATTATGGGCGGTACCCCTATTAAATAATTTTAGTACGGATATGTGCTATAAAATGAGAACCCAAAATACAAAATTACAACCGAATTGATTGATAACCTTTTCTAAAATACCAAATACTGCAGATAGAGTTATATGAGGCTACCCTGAAACTTGGGTCAATATTAATAAGAACCTAAAATACCAAACTACACCCAATTCGTTTGGAAATCGTGTCAAAAACCCCCAAAATGCCGAATATAGGGGCTGCGGTGATATGGGGGCTACATCAAAAGGTGGACCGATATATCCCATTTACAATACTAGCAATGTCTGTCCAAAATTATAGTGCTATATCTTAAATATTTATCTCTTTTGTGATTTCAACAGAGGGACAGACAGGCGGACACGTTTTCAAATATTACCCCAAATACCAATACCTGTATCAAGGCGGAGATAATAACAAATTTAAGGCCAAGCGAATTTAAGGACTTTTTACTTGTTCTAGACTTTAAAGCGGACAGATATATCTATGATGCACTGCTTGCATGGAATTGGATGAAAATAATTCGCCATTGGACCGATTACATGATTTGGATCAAATTGCAATCGATTTTTTTTACAAAAATACATTTACCAAGTACTAAACGATTTACAGTTGTAGTTTAACTTCCGTCTTCTAAATAGCAGCAACGTTCCGCGTACTTAATATCAAGGTTTTTATTACGAGCTGATTGTGTGCCAAATGATTTATATACCGTAAATTGATAAATATAGAACAAAAATCCCCATCAAGGATTTTTCTCTTCTAATTCTCATTGTTGATATACTCAAAATATATTTAATTACATTAACCTTCTAGTTGCAAAAGTGTAAAATTGATTTTAAACTTAACCATTAGCCATTCATTTCCCCTGCCAAAACACCCGAAATCATAAAATTGCCACCATTTGCCAGGCTAATAAAGAAATTTAATTAACTTTATTGTTACGGTTCGATAGTTTGTAACACCTTTAGTTTAGTTCGTCAACTATCGTAACAAACAATGTCCAACTACTGACATTGTCCTAACTCATTTCACCACTAATAAAATGAAACAACATGTTTGAGGGATTTTGGTGAGTAAAATGAACTACAACAACTACAACACCAAATCTATTAAATTCTAAAGAGCATTACAACTTTCGTGTAAATGTTAAAAGTAATTTAAATTGTATTGCGGCAACCTGAACAATATAAAGTCGATAAGTACATCTCACTCCATTTGGACGTAATCTAATATATACATACATATGTACGAATGCTAGAGGTTTTCTAGGTGGTACAGTGGTTTAAGTAGCTACAAAGAGATATCCGTTTTGTAAAGCACCCGGATTATATTTCAATGTGTAGAAAAATGGCCATAGTCAGAGTAATTTTAATTTTGGTAAATGAAAATTGTCCACCATTTAAATAATTCGATAAATTCTAATGGAAATTTTAAACAGTTCAGTTACAGCATGGGTATATTATTTGTAATTTTCAATAATTCATTTTATTGTATTACGCAATTGCATTTGTAATAACTCGAATTAAAAAAGTAGTCATTGAAGATACTTCACCTATTCAGATGTAGTTCAAAACTTTTCTATTGTAATTCACGAATTCCATTTGCAATTCCAAAACAATTCAGTAGTAATTCGCGAATTCTATTTGCAATTCCAAAACAATTCAGTAGTAATTCGCAAATACCATTTGAATTTTGAAACAATTTATTTGTAATTCAAATTATTTCAATTGTATATCAATATATTTAATTTAAAAGTTCAATTTTCGCCATTTATAAATCAAATAATTTTATTTGTAATTCGAATTATTTTAAATGTGAGCCAAACACACAAAAAATAGTTCGAAAATATAATTCTTTGAATTACTAATGGAAAACTTGAATTTTAACAATAACTTGAATTTCAATTGGAATATTTTGAATAGCAAAGGAATTGTTTAAATTTATTACACCTTTTTCAAATGTTATTCAAAACATTTCAATTGCAATTCGATAATTTAATTTTTAATTCGAAAACCCAATTTGCAATTCATAACATTTCGCTTGTAATTCGAGTATGTAATTGGTAATTCAGAACTTATCATTTGTAATTTTCAACTTTTAATATGTAATTCAAAAAATTCCATTTGAAATTTAAAAAAAATTCATTTGTAATTACAACATCTCCATTTGAAAATTGTAGAGTTTCATTTGAAATTCAAGGAATTCCATTTAAAATTGCAATAATTCAATTTGAAATTTATAACATTTCAAT